ATGAGTTTCAAGCCACCAGGTCCAGAACTCGAACCATGGTCAGCTATTGTGGGAGTCCAGCGATGTAACCATTACACCATCTGTTGGTCCCATTGCTATATATTTTTTAAAAGTGGCTTCTATATGACAAATTACTAATATTGTTTAAAATTGATAGGCATGGGACCAGCCTGTGGTGTGGTGGTTAAGGTGCTGGATTCCCACATGACCGACCGTGGTTTGAGTTCCAGTCTCTCTCTCTCTCTCTCTGTCTCTCTCTGGTGAGCACACATGCTCTATAGCAAAATTAAATAATAATGATAATAATAAATTTTTAAAAATTGATAGGCACATTTTGGCCTGGAAATCTGACCTCTTTTGTGAAGTGTTATTAATAAACAGATTACAAGGCATGTTTGCAGCCATAGAAAATGGAAGTTTCTAAAGTAATTACTAACTGAGGTCCAAATTAGTATGAGTCTTGTCTGAATTTCCCATTGTTGCTTTGGTGTAAGTCTCAGTCTGGTTGTAATCTGGTCAACAAATCTGGGTGTAATTTATTTTATGGAAAATCAGAGGATGTACTAGTGGTAATTTGTTCCTTCACACTGAACTTCAAATTCTCTTTTGTTTTTCTTTTGCTTTTTCTAGCCATTATTTGCATTTTTAAATGAAGAAAAATTTAATGCAGATGGATGGACAGTTTATAATCCAGTTGACGAGTACAGAAGGCAGGTAAGTCAGTAGGTCCTATTTCCTGGCCTGTGGTGAATTTCAAACGTGTAGTGACGGTGTGTTGTCGGTCATGCTCTCTGAGAAACAGTAACATCCTTGCTGAGTATCTCTTTGGCGGCAGTGGCATTATCCACATTTTGTACGATGTGGCTTGCTCTGCCTCTGTCGCCATGTGATATACCAGCTCATTCCATAGCCGTATTTGAGCTTCATGGAAGGCTGGATGGCTAAGCTGTCTCCTTCCCTCAATGACGAACATCAATTTTGTGTTGCTTATGAAATGAGCCCAGCATGTATGGTCTTGAAAAGTCAGACCTTTCTTCCTTATGTTTTTGGAGTTGATGATGCTATTTATATTTGGGAGCTCAACTATGACTAGAATGCAAATTTGAAGGAATTAGAACTATTTTCCTGTAATGATATCTTTTCCAAGAAGGCTTTTACGAGCATCTATTATAGTTGTCTTCCTAATTGCTCTTATGGAAACTTCACCTGTATACATGTTTATTTGTATAATAAAGGCAAGAGGCTTGGGGTCATGTTTCTGTTCAGGGTCAAAGGTCTCTTGTGGCATTTCTGTGAAGTAGATCTCATCTTTTTCATGTAAGAAGAGGCACTTTTTGGCCTCTGGTATAACCAAATATAGAACAGCTAGGATTTTTGTGATGAAATTTTTCATAATTGTTGTTCTACCAAGCTCAGAAGATAATTGGGAAATTTTGTCAAATGAGCTTGGAGAATCCAGTCAGGCCCCATTGCTTTCTATGTAAAGTAAAATTATAGGACCTAACAAACTTGACAAGAATCTTCTAGCCACAATCTCCACCACCAAGACTCTGGTGTAGTTTCCTTTTTAAGTCTTGATCACTGGTTTGCATATCCATCCATAAGCAGATTAGAAGCTCAGGAATCTGGGCACAGGAGTTGAGCTCTGGAACACATGTATGTATGAAGTAGAATGTTCCAGTCCTTCCATAAATCAGATTTAGTCTGAGTTTTCAAAGGCTCTGTACACCTCATTTTAACAACCTCTGTTTTGGGCCAGCTAGTGAAGTGGAAGAAGGTCCACTACCTCTTGCATGTTCAGAGACTTCTGTGACACTAAAATGTATTGAAATGTTTTTACTGTATTTTTGGAATGTTGCAATATTAAGACTTTTTTTTTTAAGTTCACGACGTCTAGCTTGAGTCAAACAGTTCCTGTTTTTAAGATTGCATGCATATATGAACTGTTGAAGGTGTTTTGTTTTAGACTGCCATTATATTCAATCTCTTTTTCTTATAACTTTCTGATGGGACTTATTACTCTCTAATTGGACTCAGCATCAGACTCAACATCTGTTTGGTCCGTGGTCTATAGGACCAGACCTAAAGAACAGGTACAATGTTTGTCCCCAAAACAAACACCCACATAGCTCACTTTCATGTGTGTATTTGTGCATTTGTGAGTATGGGGAGAGAATATTCCACCACCTCTGGATCTTGTCCATACTACATTTAATTTGTGGGTAGATGCTAGGATGGGAGGTGTCTTCCATGTTTCCCTGTAGCATGAGCAATCTCTTAAAATGCAAATGACTGTATTTCTCACACAGCCTATGGGGTAATCATCAATCCTGAATAGTTGGATTTAAAAAAAAAAATCATCGGAGGTGGCGAAATGAGCCTCCCCAGAGGGGTTTGCCTTTACTTCCCCTCTGTGATTTTCTTCATGAGTTCAGCTTCTTTCCACTTTGGAGCAGACAGAAGCATTCACTGTTTTGAGCAGGGAGAGGAAGTTGCCTGATCTCTTTTCTACCCTCAGTTAGCCACAGATCAAGACTGCCTGAGATGCTTCCCTTGGGGGCGGGGGTGGGTGCATGGGTGGGGGATGGCCAAGTTATTGACTCTGGTGTAGTTTCCTTTTTAAGTCTTGATCACTGGTTTGCATATCCATCCATAAGCAGATTAGAAGCTCAGGAATCTGGGCACAGGAGTTGAGCTCTGGAACACATGTATGTATGAAGTAGAATGTTCCAGTCCTTCCATAAATCAGATTTAGTCTGAGTTTTCAAAGGCTCTGTACACCTCATTTTAACAACCTCTGTTTTGGGCCAGCTAGTGAAGTGGAAGAAGGTCCACTACCTCTTGCATGTTCAGAGACTTCTGTGACACTAAAATGTATTGAAATGTTTTTACTGTATTTTTGGAATGTTGCAATATTAAGACTTTTTTTTTTAAGTTCACGACGTCTAGCTTGAGTCAAACAGTTCCTGTTTTTAAGATTGCATGCATATATGAACTGTTGAAGGTGTTTTGTTTTAGACTGCCATTATATTCAATCTCTTTTTCTTATAACTTTCTGATGGGACTTATTACTCTCTAATTGGACTCAGCATCAGACTCAACATCTGTTTGGTCCGTGGTCTATAGGACCAGACCTAAAGAACAGGTACAATGTTTGTCCCCAAAACAAACACCCACATAGCTCACTTTCATGTGTGTATTTGTGCATTTGTGAGTATGGGGAGAGAATATTCCACCACCTCTGGATCTTGTCCATACTAGATATAATTTGTGGGTAGATGCTAGGATGGGAGGTGTCTTCCATGTTTCCCTGTAGCATGAGCAATCTCTTAAAATGCAAATGACTGTATTTCTCACACAGCCTATGGGGTAATCATCAATCCTGAATAGTTGGATTTAAAAAAAAAAATCATCGGAGGTGGCGAAATGAGCCTCCCCAGAGGGGTTTGCCTTTACTTCCCCTCTGTGATTTTCTTCATGAGTTCAGCTTCTTTCCACTTTGGAGCAGACAGAAGCATTCACTGTTTTGAGCAGGGAGAGGAAGTTGCCTGATCTCTTTTCTACCCTCAGTTAGCCACAGATCAAGACTGCCTGAGATGCTTCCCTTGGGGGCGGGGGTGGGTGCATGGGTGGGGGATGGCCAAGTTATCTGTATTGTATGAGTAGTAAAGAATATGTTGACCCAAAGTAAAGGAAGATCTCAAATTCAAGAAATTCATTTTTACAAAAGGTTGTTTAGAGTTGTGGAAGCCACCAGTGTTTTGTCTTGTGTCCTTCCGTTGTCTGGATTATTGAGCTTATTATATATATGGAGGCCGTCGTCCCCATGTGGTCCAAGAGGCCTGTGCACGTATTGCTAGAAAGAAGAAAGGAGGCCAAGGCTAAATTCAGAGACTGAGTCTCACAATACTGACTTGAACTTCTTTGTTTCCTGCAGGGCTTGCCCAATCACCAGTGGAGAATAACTTTTATTAATAAGTGCTATGAGCTCTGTGACACTTACCCTGCTCTTTTGGTGGTTCCGTATCGTGCCTCCGATGATGACCTCAGGAAAGTTGCAACTTTTAGGTCCCGAAATCGAATTCCAGTGAGTATGGCAACGGACATTTCTTTCAAAGAGGGTCTTTCATTCCGTAAGAATGCTAGTCAGGTCATTTAGAGAAGCACTCTTAGCATTTCATGTCAATAAATAATTACCAAGTGCCTTCTGAGTGCAAAGTACTACACCAAATGGAGAAAGAAATAGCACCTGCTACCTACCAGAGCTTGCAGCCAAGGACTCAGCGGAAAGGGAAGGACCTCATACAGGAGAGAGTAGAAGTAACACTGTCACGCTCGAGCCAAGTGCCACGCAGAAGAAGGACGGGTCTCCGTGGTATTCATCTGTGTGGCATGTTGACTGAGTTGTGCTGGAAAGAACATGCTATCTGACCTAAGAGAAAAGATAAGCAAGTTCAGGCTTTGATGCGCACTCACCAGTATTAGAGTGAGCCCACCCTTGCACATTTGCAAGCTGCCTCAATGCCATTATCAAGCCGGAGTCAAGTACAGACTATTCCAGACAGTACACTTACGGTATCTGTGAGTCAAGTTCACCAAGTTCTCATTTAGTCCTTAAGGAAATATGGACAAGCCATACTGTCTGCTCTGTACATAAATTTTATTGACTCCAAATTTAGAGACAGGTTTTTTTTTTTCCCCGCTGTTAAATGTCAGGATCTGTCATAATAAGTACATTGGGTTTTCTTTTAAATTAGTTGATTTTTAAAAGCAATGATTGAAGAAATTAAAATTTAATATTACCTAGCCTGTAACTTCTAAGTCTAGACATTCTTGTACTTAAAAGGTATTTGTGAGAGGCATTTGTATACTAAAAACCTAATATGGATTGTAACTTTTAAACTTCACTTCCTTCTCTAGTTATTACTGTCCATTTATGTCTTCATGATAGAAATTGTACTTGAAAGTATGTCCTTCAAGCCATTTTATTAGAATCGAGTGCTCTACCTGGGCCATACCCACAGACTCTGCTCCTCTCCTGGTCAGCTGTCTTGCCCGTGCATGCCTTGCCCACGAGGAAAACTAGGCTAAGGTCGTGTCAGTTGGTTTGGTTCACTCACCAGTCAGTCAGTATTTAATGAGCATACACTGTGTGTGTGCATGTGTGTGTGAGAGAGAACGAGAGAGAGAGAGAATTTCATGGACTTTGAGTCAGGAAGGGAAATAAAACAACTGTCTGGTCCACTGTGCTCAGTCTGCATTATTCCGAATGAATGCTAGCCCACTATAGAGCAAATATAATTTAACTTTTCATTTATTTAGTCTTTTTATTGATGCTTCTTTCTTTGTGATGACCACTAATATGCATTTCATTTTTCATTTTAAAAACTAAGGCTAGGCTAGCATGTGGTGTAGTGGTTAAGGCACTGAACTCCCACATGGCCAAACTGCAGTTCAAGTCCCAGATATGGCAGCTTGAAAATCATGCCAAATATATGTGTATATGTGCCCAAAATCCCAGAAGGAGAATGGAGGAGAAGGGATTGTGGCTTTGCTATCCTCCTGGGGAGTGATTTCTTACTTTACCTCTGTCTGTCTATCTCTGGCAAGTGCATGCACCCTATGGCAAAAACAAAACAAAACCACAAAAACAACAAAAAGCTAAGGCTAATCTACTGATAACGTCTGTATATTTACAGATCATCTACTATTAGATATTACGCATAAAGATACACTCCTTCTGATATACCTTCTAACCTCCTTACTCTTGAATATTAGTCTCAGTGTGTAGATATATCATGATTTATTTATTGTGAGATAGCGAGGGTCTTTTTAAACTTTTGTTATTATAAACAATGTTATGATAAGTATCTTTTGGTGGCAAAGTCTGCGTATACCCTTGATTCCCTATGACTTCTAGATATTAATTATGATGAGAATAGTGTAAGGTAGTACTGTGTGCTTCAAAAGCACTCTTAGTACGGTGAAACAGAATGTATTTGTATTCATTCAGCTCTGCAACGAGCATCTTTTTTAAAGATAAGGAAGTGGAGGTACTCCTAAGAGTGACATTTCCTAACATTAGCCCAAGCCAAGAGAGGCAGGGCAGGAGGAGGGATGGCATTGGCAGAGGGCGGTTTCTGTTATATGACCCAATTGAAATTTGAAACATGTTAAGGATCTTTCTCAAATAATAAATCTCTTGTGTGTGTAGTTATTTGCTTCTTAATTAATTTTTAAAGTTGATTTATTTTCATGAAAGAGAATGAAGGAAGGAAGGTTCCCCTAACAGAGTCTTCATGCTGAGATCCATCCCTAGCCTCAGCCAGCCAAGGCCACAGTGCATGTCTGGTGTGTACAGAGAGGCCTCACACAAACCCGAACCTTCTCATGTGGATCCAGCACTGCAGAAGATTTCATTACTACTGTGCCACTGTGGCTGGCCCCATTTTTTCCCCCTAGAATTATTTATTTAATTTATTACTATTATTCTATTTTAAAGATTTGCTCTAGGGCTTGTACACTCACAAGAGACAGAGAGAGACAGAGAGAGAGAGAGAGAAAGTGAAAAGCAAGCACAGAACATGGCACTTGTTCTGAGAATGGTTATTTTTATTGTTGTGTCGTCTTTTCTCAAGAACCCATTGCCATCATAATAAACATCACTTTTTAAAGACATCAGTGTTTGTCATTTGCCATTGCAGGGGGTGACTTCAGAGATATCAGGGAATCTGGCCTTATATTAAGTGAGCCGAATGGTTACACTTCTTCAGTTCTTGTGCCTGCATGTTGTAGGATTTGGTAACTGACTTTACAGGCTGCTGAGCCCTCCTCGGATGCTAACGTGAGCCAGCATTAATAGAGCATTTTACCAACATTCTTCCTTTAGACCTCTCAGCAGCCCTATGAGAAAGCACTGTTGTCCTCACTTGGTGAAGGAGGAAAGGGAAGCCAGAGAGGCTGTGAGTTAAGTGTCTGAAGTTAGAGCCATGGCAGAGTCACATCCGTCCTCAAAGCCCCTTTGGTTGTCCACACTTTGTACTCCCCAGCTTTCTGTGTTTAGCAGGTTTGCCGAGATCTTCACATAGCCAGCGATCCTCTACGTCAAGTGTACAATTCTGTAGTTTTCCGTATACTATAGTCTGAGCTACCTTGTACATGTACTGTTATTCACGTGCTGTGACTGGAACCAGGAATCAGATGTGCTAGACCATGTAGAAAATGAGAGAAGGCTGACTCTGAGTTAAAGGCTGCTGAGCTCCCCTAGGCGTCAGGCATCCAAACTTCCTTGAGGAGGCTGGCAGCTCTTTTGGCTGTCCCAGGAGCTTTGCTTCTTCCCTCAGATTTTCTTTCTTCCTGTGTCAAAATCTAGAACCAAGACTGTGGGGGAAATAACCTGTGACTGTAAGTTGGTATTATAAGAAAGATATTGTACCAGAGGTGATTTCCTTTACCTCTCACTCTTTGCTGCTCCTTAACCATACTGAATCCAGTGCAAGCTACAGCATTAAACTGCCAGAAGCCCTTCGATTTCTCTTTCCTTTAAGTGACAAAACCATTTTTAGGTAAGCATTAATTTCTATTACATGGGACCAACAGATAGCATAATCGCTATGTCGCTGGACTCACATGTAGTTGACCATGATTCGAGTCCCGGATTCGGTGGCTTAAACTCATGCCAGGAGCATGTGCGTGCATGCCCAGGATCCCGAGAGGAGAATGGAGGAGAAGGGATTGCAACGTGGCCATCCCCCCGGGGGGTGATTTCTCTTTCTCACTTTTTGTCTGTCTGTCTGTCTCTCTCTTTCTGGCGAGTGCACACGCCCTGTAGCAAAAACCTCTCCAAAACAGAAAAATTTCTATTACACATGTTGCTAGCTAAGAAAAGGTCAGTGTGGTTGTGGTTCTGATTGTTCCTAAGTGGCCGTGATTGTTCAGTGTGTGTTCCTAGATGCACACAGTGAAATCGCACATGAGCAAGATTTTGTTTGAGCCCAGAATCACTTCTTCAAGTTTGTTGGTGATTTTTTTTTTGAAGACTTTTGTTTTTTTAAGACTTACTTTTTTGATGACTGAAACTTTCTGAACTCACCATAGGTGCTATCATGGATTCACCCAGAAAACAAGACAGTCATTGTGCGTTGCAGTCAGCCTCTTGTGGGTATGAGCGGTAAACGAAATAAAGACGATGAGAAGTATCTTGATGTCATCAGAGAGACTAATGGACAAATTTCTAAACTGACCATCTATGATGCAAGACCCAGTGTAAATGCAGTGGCCAACAAGGTGAGTGTCTTCGGTAACAGGATAGAAACGTCACATGCATCTGGAGTGCAGCATTTTCTGTGAATGTTTTTGCCACAGTACATCTTTCAGCCAATGTAGGGTTAGATTAACAGCTAAGAAAACCAATTCTCAAAACTTAGAACATAGTTTTAAGGGTAATTACCTTAAACAAAAGTCGAATACATTAAAGTCAAATGAAACTAATCTTCAGGTAAGTAGGCACAGCTAGATTTGTAATGAACTTGGGTTTGGGACAGAATCTTACGCAAAAGATATACTCCTTGGAATGGTTTATGCTGTGGACAATCACTCTCATGTACACACTGTTGAAGCACCTGGAAGGAGTTGTGGGGAGCTGTAATTAGTCTTACCTAGAATTCCCTCCACCATACCCATATCTACTTATAAACATGTTTTTCTCATTTATACAAGATAGCTCAAGAACTTGGTAGATGCATGTATGTGGCTTTTCCAGTCATGGCCACATATTACAAAAGTGCATTGTCTTCAGATGTCTGTCTTGATCATCTTTTTGCCTCCTTAAGCAAAATATACTGAATGTCCCTAAAGTTGACCCAGGGCATTACTATGAGCCTCAGCACACAGTGTTGCCTAAAAAATCCACTGCAAGGTGGAAGGCTCTTTGCCCTTGCTCTAGATGGCCCTGGGTTGATATACATCATACGTGTCATTGCTCCTTCTCGCTTTTATTTTTCTTTCTTTTCTCGTCATTGCCAGCTGTCCCTTCCAAATGCTTACAGAGGGCTTTTCTGAAGGTATCCCCTCACATTCCACCTTTCAGATTTATGGTTTCTTATCAGCTGTAGGCTTAAATTCCATCATCTTCAATATTTTGCTTATCCTGAGGGCATTTATCTAGCATCTTCAATTAGTCAGAATACAAGACAAGAACCTAAAAGCAAAAGAAGTCCTCAAGCGCTCAGGTAGATGCAGCAGCTTCCTATGTGAAATCTGTGATACCTGGCTGCACTGTGTGTGTGCATGTGCATGTGCATGTTTGTGCAGGGCTCAACTCCTCGTTGTTTGCACATGGATCATCTGTCCCACACACTTGGTCTGGGGCCGCCCCCGTCCCCCAATGCATGCTCTCAGACCAACTGTTTGCTATGACAGTTGGTTTTGTTTAGAAATGATTTTGAAATTATATATAAAGCAATCAGGAAGTTGAATCAGTAAGTAAATTGGGAATTATAAGTAAAACCTTTAAGAAATTCAATCTAAATCAAAATACCTTCTTGGGTTAATGTTAATTTGATGTATTTCTGTTCCTATTATCCTTTGTATATAATTCAGAGCAAAAACATGTATAAAATGCAGTACTTTCATGTACAGCTTTAGCCTGAAATAGATATGACGTAACATTAAAATGAAGTATTTAGAAAGAGTATTTTCACATATTAAAATGTATGAAACGAACACCTTAATTATAGTAACTCCAAAGCTCATTATAGCAATAGAATTTTTGAATGCCTTTTTAGCACTCAGCAAAATATGCCTCTATTTCTAGTCCTTTAGGAATCAAGGGAAGGAAAATATTAAGGAAAAAAGCCTAAGCTCTCGAGACCTCTGCGTCATTTTTTTAAACGCCATGCTTATGTTTCCCCTCCTTCGGCTGTGTCTCTCGGCTGGTCGCTAGCTGTCTATATCCATAGCAACAGGCCCTTGGACCTTGACATCGTCATACTAGGTTGTCTGGATTGTTCTTTCTTGTTGAAGAAAGGAAAACTGAAGAGATGACTTCAAAAGTAACCAGAGATAGAGAATTTGAACTGCTGGAAACTCAATCTGTGCCTGACTAATTGATTTTTACCCTTTCTGACTTCTGTTCTCTGTGGACCTAATTGTTCGTCCCTTGTGGATATTTAGAAATTCATAACCCCAGATGGAACAAGCAGCATCATATCATTTAAAATTCAACTAAATCCAGGGCTCAGTAAGATCTAGCAGCAGGCTGCTTCTGTTTTCGCCGCAGTACACAGTGATGAATTAAAATGGAACTACATTCATGCCCAGTTTTGCCAGAAACTTTGACTATGAGTGATAAGTGGGTTTTTTCTTTCATTTTTTCGCATACTATCTTTAGTTATTTATGAAAGGATCCCCAGTGTCAAGACTCTCTTTGAAAATCACCGCAACTATTTTGAAACCACGTGTGCAGAGGAGCAGGCTGTCTGTCCACAGGAGGCGACGAGTGGCATTGCGTGATAGGCTTGCAGATCTAGCAGGATGTAGGCCGTCATTTCCTCCCAGGCCCTGAGCCTACAGTTTGCAAAAGTGACGCAAGTGGGCATGGATAACCGAGAGGAGGGGATGGTGACCTGTTTGATTACTTACAGCTGGAAACTTTCTCAAATTGGCAAAGTGAATGTTTACCGTCTACCAGCTATGATGCTATGCAGAGCAAGCTTCAAAGAACTACTCTGTCTGCGTGGATTCTCTCACCTAGCGTCTCTGGGGACCAAGGTCTCAGACTTGTCACCTAGATATGCAGGCTTGAAGTTCTTGTGGTAACCTCACACCTATTGCAGGAAATCTCTGTGATGAACCCCAGAAAAAGCCCTAGGTTGCTTTGGCTCTTTTGTCCTTGGCCACGAGTTTATATTTCTTCCATTATCATAAAAAAAGAAAAGAAGCAAATTCTAGCAATGGCACATTTTCTGGAGACTTCTGCTTTCCTCTTCAGCCTAAGCAGGTGTTTCCCTGCCTCTTCCTACAGGCACCCTGAAGTTATATAATGCTGCCTTCTTTGCAAGTCACAGAACTGTGACTTTTTCTTAAAGGGCCAGAGGCCACATGTCCCATGGCATTTTAAAACATTGAAGCAGAATGCAGCCAGCTTCCTAAACAAAACTGTACCGTCTCTTTGTTTGTGTGGAAAACACAGACTGCTCACCATGCTGGGAAGGTGAACCAGTGCCTTCACTGGCAAGGTAATCCCTGTAGGCACTGCAGGAGGGGAGCCATCTGGGCTTCTCTTGAAACCTTGTCCTGCTGGAGAGCTGCCAAGGGCAGCACTCTCTGTCCTTGGTGTTTGCACAGCAGAGCGGGAGTCTTGGTGTGGTACGGAAGGTCCAGGCTTTGAAGTCGGACTAGACTTAAATATCACTTACTATCTGCATGACTCTGGAAATAGTTAAACAGCAGTTCTGAGTGTCTGTCTTCACCCAAACAGGGATAGTAACACCTATCTCTCAGCCTTGCTACTTTAAGAGATACAGTTATGTAAAGCAAGAACCACAGTACCTGGCACATCATAGGGGCTCATTAAATGGTGGGTGTGATAGCTGTTAGAATAGAAGATGGCTCCCCTAATCCTGAGACCTAGGTAGTAGTATCCTCTGTGTACAGGAAAGGAACTTGGGGCTCACATAGGGCAAGTGCCTTGCCCTAGATCACATGGCAAAAAGAGGCTGAAGCTGAGCTGTCAACCTGGGTCTGTCTAACTCTAACGCCTGTTTTCCTCTCATGCATCTGTCCTGTCAGTGGCATTCCAATGCCAGGGTTGTCTGCTGTCACCTTGGTTTCCTTCCCCGTGAAGAGTGCTGTTGTACCTATGGTGCTGATGGAGGGTGAGGACCTTTCAGAGGCTGTGCTTGCCTCTCCAGCTCTGGAAGAAGAGCCAGTAATTACATAACATTTTGAAAATGACTTTTTTTTTATTTTTTCACTCACAAATAACAGATTCCCCAGGAAATTGCCAGCCTTCTACTTTATTTCTGGCTCAAAGTATGACTAATGTTGTTGAGGCTTAGGTGTTGGCTACTGACCCAAGTCACATTCGGTATTTACTTAAATTGTAGTCATTGGGATTGAGATTTGGAGGACAAATAACTTTGTAAATATTTGTGTAAGTTACTGGTGAAATGTAAAACCCAACTGATTGTTTGCATCTGTTGTTGTTTCTTAGGCAACAGGAGGAGGATATGAAAGTGATGATGTATATCATAACGCCGAACTTTTCTTCTTAGACATTCATAACATTCATGTTATGAGGGAATCTTTAAAAAAAGTGAAAGACATTGTTTATCCTAATGTAGAAGAATCTCATTGGCTGTCCAGTTTGGAGTCTACTCATTGGTTAGAACATATCAAGGTAAGTATATTTAAAAAAAAAAACCTTTGCATATACAAAAAAAAAAAAAGTGGTTGTTTAGGAGAACAAGCATTTTTTTTTCAAAATTCCTCACATATAAAAAGATTGAGCACAGAGAGATAAACTGTAGCAGAGGACTCTATATTTGAAAGTTTTTATCATTTGCTTACCAAAATTAAAAATTTCGCATCACTACTCCAGAATATTCTCAGAGTTTGTAGCAATGTCTCTTCCCATCTTGTTGTTAGTGAGTAGTTCAGGCTTTTATGTAGATTTATTTATAATAGCCAATCTATCTGACTATTACTGGGTATGTGACCCATGGATCCGGATAGAGGTTTTTTTTTTTTAAAGTGTTCAAGCGGTCTGAGGGAACGAACATTTCTATAATACTTTTACAGCTTTTTTGTGAATCTAAAGCTATTCTAAAATAAAAAGTGCTATTTTGGGACCAGCAGGTGGCGTGGTGGTTAAGGATTCTAGATTCCCACATGGTTGACCTTAGTTCAGCTTGCTTTCTCACTTTCTCTCCCCTCTCCCCATCCCTCTCTGATCAAATTTAAATAAATAAATAAATTTTAATTAATTAATTAATTTAATTAAATAATTTGTAAAAGGTGTTATTTTAAGAGAAAGGATTACATGCTTTTGTGCACAAAGCATATTAGACCTTCTAATGGGAAAAAGGGATAAAATAATTTCATACTTCTAAGGAAGTTCATACATGGTTGAAGAGATATAAAAGAAATATCATATTCTACGGTATCATAGCAAAGTCATGTGTGGAACAGGTCTTTTTTCTTTTTTCTTTTTTTTTTTTAAGAGGTTTTTGCCTTAGGGTGTGTGCACCCACCAGGGGAAAAGTGAGAAATCACCCATTAGAGGGGATGGTCATGCTGCAGTCCCTTCTCCTCTACTCTCCTCACAGGATCTTGGGCATGCAAGCACATGTGCCCGACATGATTTTGAAGCCATTAGGCTCAGGGCCCAAACTGCAGTTGGCCATGCTGGAGTCTAGTGACATAGCTACTACACCATCTGCTGGTCCTGGAACAGGTCTTTTTAGATTCAGTGATCTCAATCTGGTCACTAATGAAAGCAAGAGAATGGGAACTCCATTCTAGAGAAAGAGAACAGCCTAGACAGAAGCCCAGAAACAGACAGGGTGAGACCAAATGAGATTGAAGATTTCTATACGTGCAGGTTAATCTAGAGATCTGGGAGAAGCCAGGTGACCAGAGGTCTTCACTGTTAAGTTCAACTGCGAGGAACCCCCATGGTTTTTAGATTCCCCAGGAAATTGGAATGGTGGGGTCTTTGGTAGGAAAACATTTTTGCAGCTGCTTATAGACTAGATAGCAGAAAGAAGAAAATGAAGTCAGAGAAAACAGAACCTTTTCAAGAATATAGAGATGGGAGGTAGTAATGGCCTTGATTAAAATGCTGCCATTGGGGGTTGAGGCAGGTAAAAAAGGGACAGACAAGAAAGGTTCCCAAGGAAGGGCCTGTGGTAGTTGATGACTAGATACATGCAGGATCTAATGAAATGTAGGATGATGCCAAGAGGATGAGCCTAGCTAGCTAAGAATATGATGCCACCATTTGCAGATGAAGTGTAGTCCTGATCAGGATCTTGGTCAAGAGAAACACCATCCAATTGGGGTAGTGGTAGGCCATCCACCTGGTGGGGTCTAGCGGGCTGGTGTTCATGCCAAATGGGACTCACACTCGAGGCTTAGGACTGAGAGGTCAGTTTGGGAGTCAGCTATTGGACAACAAACTCGAGCAGAGCCCTTTAATGTGGGTGCTGAGAGGATGTATGGGGCGATCAGAGGACTTTGAATGGAACCTTGGCCATGTTTATATTCAGGACAGGAAGTCAGAAGTGGAGCTCAGTGAAGGAGGCATCAGAGAGACATGGGAAGATCAAAGGAGGCTATTGGAATGTAAAGAAAGGTTCTTGAAGAAAGGGCCAGTGGTACTTCAAAGAAATTTATCAAAAGGTCCTTGTCGACCTTGGAGGTAGACCTGCATGGGTGTCTAGTCATGTGGAAGGGGCAAGAGTTGAGAAAATAGTGGTAATGAATGTAGACTATTCTTTTGAAGAGGTAGATAGCTGAAGGAAGGGGTAAGTATCATATGATGAGTATCATATGATTATGAGAAGGGCTTTTCAAGTCATGGGAAGCTCCAGCCTGTTCTGTAGACAAAGAGAAAAGATTCAACTTTAGGTAATTTTAAAAGGAAATAATCACACAGGCCTGAAAAGATTAATATACTGTGATGTTTATAATAGTGCAAAAACATTAGAAACAACCTAAATGTACAAGAAAAGTTATATCTAGAGAATGAAATATTGCACAATCATTAAAAATCACATCATTCAATACCTGATAATGTGAGGAAGTCCTCAGCTTGTAAAAGTGAAAAGGGCCGGGAACCAGCAGTTAGCGTAATGGCTATGTCATTGGACTCCCATGTCGTCGACCACGGTTCGCGTCCTGGACCCGCTGGCTTAAAACTCACGCCGGGCGCGTGTGCATGCGTGCCCAAGATCCCGAGAGGAGAAAGGAGAAGGGATTGCGGCATGACCATCTCCCCTGGGGGGTAATTTCTCACTTTCTGTCTCTATGTTTCTCTCTGTCTGGCGAGCACATGCGCCCTATAGCGAAAAAAAACTCTCAAAAAAAAAAAAAGTGAAAAGGGTCTCAGAAGCCTCAATTAAAGGAAAAATATGTTTGCATAAAGACAAGTTTAGAGAGTATCCACCAGGATGTCAAGAACTATTATTTCTGAGTAGTAAGACTATGGTAATTTTTATTTTCTTCTGTGTCCTATCATTTCCCCCATTTGTTCAGTGAATATTTATTACTTTTGTAAATAAGGAGAAAAGCGTTTTGGGGAGAGAGCACAGGTAAGGGGTCATTGGTGAGGTGGGTCAGCTCCTGCTCTCAGCTAGATAAGAAGGGAGACAGGTTAGAAGTAGGTCTTGTTTGATGGCTCAGGTATCTGGGGAAATCAGTAGGCAAAGCTGTCTGCTAAAGTGTAGAAGTTAATTAGGACTTAGGAAATTTAGAAAATGAAAAGACCCCTGTGAAGTTCTGTCATTTTGTTTCTAATAAGGGGGATACAAAAGGAATGAAAGAAAATGCCTTTTTTCCAAATAGACTGGGAATAACAGGTGTCCACAGGGAACATCTGGACATTGGCTCTGTTCAGACAGCAGAGCAGATATGTAGGCAGCCTTGAGCTGACCTTGAAGCCTGGGTGGGGATGTTTGGTGAGCTGCGAGCTCTAGGAGTATCCATTCCTTGCCTCTTCCAGCTTCTCATGGTCACTGACATTCCTTGGCTTATGGCCACATCACTCCAACCTGTGCCTCTGTGCTCACATGGCCTTGTCCTCTTCTGTCAAGATGAAGTCTCCCTCCATCTCTCTCTCAGAAGGATTCATGTGATTATAATCTAGGACCTACCTGCATTATCCAGAATACTTTCCCTATCCCAGAATCATTAACTTGATCCCTCTGCAGAGTGCCCGTTGTCATGTCAGATGGTGTTCACAGGTTCCAGGGTTAGAATGGGGGTATTGTTGGTGAGCATTTTTCAGCCTCCCACTCTACTGTGAAACCCCAGGGCTGCTGATGGAGATGCAGTGTGGCCATGGCTAACCCACACTCTGGTCTAGTGGTCCCCCACTTGGTATATGAAACTAGAGTGAGCCTTTTGCAATGAGATGACCAGCACCCTCTTTCTGTCTCCCGAATATATATCCAGTCCACTGCCAGAGCTCCAGCAAAAGGGAAGAAGGGTCATGCTTTCTGGAAGCTACATTTCTTCTTGGTCCTTTCTAGCACTCTCCCCTGTAGTACTTCCTGTTTAACAATGACTCATTATGCTGTGCTGCTGTTCCACATCAGCATTTGATAGGGGGGGTGGAGGGCACCATTCTTCTCTCCATATTAGAAAGAATCCATGGTTACTCAATCAGCCCAAAGTGGGAACTATCAAAAGTGGTACAATGAGGTCTTTTTTTTAATTTCAATTTATTTATTTGCATTCATTCACTGTACATCATTAACAATGAGGTCTTGAACCCAGGCCTTCAGCCATAAAGCTAGCATTCTTAACCACTGCAGCATATGCTCCTTGCTGGCCATCTCAGCTAACTATCAGTCACAAATTCATCAGATTACTTAGTTTTATGGTGCATTTTTAAAAATCCGATTTAGTCATTAGCTAATTACAGCTGTTCCTATCAGAAGTGATTGTGGCAATTCATACTTAATTGGAAAACAACACATAGTTTTTTCAAAACGACTGACTGAGATTGAATCCTTCTCTTATTGTAAGTAAGGGGAGTATCCAGAGCAAGAAGTGGCCACTGTTGAAATGCACTGGACCCCAGCGGTCTTGTGCTTCACCACTCTCTGAGCAGCCCTTTGTCAGATTACAATTACAGTACAGTTTCAAGGAGACATGTAAAGGCTTGTGAGGTGCAGTGAGTTATGTACAAGTAATCCGTGTGCCAGTCAGCCTTAGGTCCCCAGCCTTTCCTTCTTGGCCCTTCCTGTCCACTTATCTTTAGTTACTGTTTTATGTAAAAATAATAAAGCTCCATTCCTTTAAAACTTTCTATACATCAGGGCCAGCAGGTGGTGGTGTGGTTAAGGTGCTAGATTCCTGCATGGCCAACCATGGTTCAAATCTCAGACCTGGCAGCTTGCTTTTTCACTTTCCCTCTGTTTCTCTCCATCTCTCTCTGGTCAATTTAAAATAATAATAACAACAATACATAAAAAAATTATTAAAAAAAAAAAAATCTTTCCATATGTCCGGTCCTTCTGTCAGTTTGATGGTTCTTTGAAGTTAAAATAAATGCGGATTTCGGGGCCAGCAGGTAGCATGGTAGTTAAAGGTGCTGGACTCCCATGTGGCTGACTATGGTTCAAGTCTTGGACCTGGTAGCTTGCTTTCTCACTTTCTCTCTCTGTCTAATCAAACTGGAAAATAATAATAATCAATAAAGGATTATTGAGGATTTCAATGTAGTTGAATTAATTGGTAGTTTCTTTAAAAATTAAATGTGCATTAAATGTATTTATGTTGGAACATTCACTTTACAAGCTAAGTGATGTATGTGATTGAATGTATAAAAAGAAATTAAAATAAAAAATTAAAAAATCACAAGGCTGGCAGGTGGCGTGGTGGTTAAGGGTGCTGGACTCTTACATGGCTGACTGTGGTTTGAGTCTCAGACCTGGCGGCTTGCTTTCTCACTTTCTCTCCCTCTCCCTCTCCCTCTCCCTCTCTCTCCCTCTCTCCCTCTCTGGCCATATTAAAATAAATAAAGTTAAATAAAATAATTTTAAAAAATAAACAAAAATAAAAATAAAAAAATCAAATGTGCATTTACCATCTGGCCCAGCCATCTTACTCCTATACATTTTCCCACTAGAAATGAAAATGTTATGTCCCTTCAAAACTGCACATGCAGCCAGCCAGTGGTGTGTGTTTAAAATGGCTGGATCCTATATGACCAACTATGAGGTTTGAGTCCTGGACCTCGTGGCTTGGGAAACATGCCAGGCACATGTGCATGTGGGCTTAAAATCCTGAGAAGAGAATGGAGAAGAAGGGGTTCTTGCAGCATGGCCATTTCCTCTGGGAAGTGCTTTACCACTTTCATTATCTGCTTGTGTGTGTGTGTGTGTGTGTGTGTGCGTGCACATCTGGCAAGCACACTCACCCTATAGCACACTCACACATACAACTGTGTGTGCAAAAATTCACAGCAGCATTATTCATAGTGGCCAAATGCTAGAAACAATCAGCTGGATTGTTGGGGTCAGGCAGGCACAACAGCAGAACACAACACTCTGCAAGGTTGACACGGGAAGGAGACCTTCCTGAGTGTGCCTGGCACACATGTGCCCGTGATCCGGGCTGGTTAGGGATGGATTGCATTATCAAGACCCTGTCAAGGGTACTGTTTCTCTCTGTCTCTGTCTCTCTGACTCATTGAATGGATAAGTAAACTTTAAAAAAAAAAACCAGTTTGTTCATACAACAGAACATTATTCAGTCATAAAAGGAGCAAAGTACTGTACATGCTACCACGTGAGTGAGCCTTGGAAACATGGTGCTAATGAAAGAACTCAGACACAAAAGACCACATATTTATTATTTCATTTTCATAAAATGTCTAGTAAAGGCAAAAAACAGAGAGATAGGGAGCAAATCACTAGTTGCCTAGGGTTGAGGGTGGAAGCAAGATTGACCTCTGATGACACAAAGAAGCCTTTTTTTATATGATCACTGTTATGGGTTGAATTGTGCCCCATCCCCAAATTCCTATGCTAAAGGCCCAAGCCCCGGTACCTGAGTGTGACCTTATTTAGAGACAGGGTCTCTATAGATGCAATTAGTTCAGACAGTGCCATACCAGAGTGGCGTGGGCCTCTGCTTCGGTATGACTTACATCCATATAGAAAGGGGAAATGTGGGCATAGAGACATGCACGCAGGGAGAATACCATGGGAAGTTTGCAGTTATGTTGCCACAAGCCACGACCTATCAGAAACCAAGGGGGAGACCTGGAGCAGATCCTTCCCTAGCTCCCACAGTGGATAGAACAGCCCTACCCAAACCCTCACCTTGGATATCCAGCCTCCAGAACTGGGAGACCATACATTTCTGTTGTGTAAGCCACTCAGCCCATGGTACATTGATAGGCCAGCCCTAGCATACTGTTACAGTCACACCCAGGAAGGCAAGTATGAAATAACCTTTGGCATTCAGTATGGCTTGGGTTTCGATACCCAGGCATGTGGGAATGCAGTCTCTACAGAGGAGGGGCAGCATATCCTGTAGCTGCTCGTGTTCCATTTCCTGACTCTGTTCTAGACATTAACCAGTATTTTAAAGCAGGGCTTTTCTCCAGGTTAAAAACTATACTTTCAAATTGAAGCATTGTCTCATAACTGCCTACTGATTTGCATTGTTTCTTTGCCAGCTTGTTTTGACAGGAGCTATTCAAGTAGCAGACAGAGTTTCTTCGGGAAAGAGCTCAGTGCTTGTGCACTGCAGTGATGGGTGGGACAGGACTGCTCAGCTGACATCCCTGGCCATGCTGATGCTGGACAGCTTCTATAGGAGCATCGAAGGGTTTGAAATATTGGTACAAAAAGAATGGATAAGCTTTGGAATTAAATTTGCATCTGTAAGTAAACAATACAGCTCACTTTTTAAAATACCAGATCACTGCCGTTTGGTCTGGCTATGGTGGCACAAAGGTAGTGCCACCACTTGGGAGGCTGGAAGCCACATGGGAGACCCAGGTTCAGTTCCTAGGCTAACCTGAACACACCAGACAGTTGTACACACCTGTAATCCCTGCGAATTGGAGGCTAGGGCAGGAGGATGGTGACACAGCAAGACCTTGTCAAAATGCCTATTGCTTGGGCCAGCAGGTGGCATGGAGGTTAAGATGGCTGGATCCTTCATAGCTGCATCTATGGTTCAAGCGCGAGACCTAGTGGCTTGAGAGACATGCTGGGCATGTGTGTGTGTATTCCCAAAATCCCTAGAGGAGAATGGAAGAAAAGAGACTGTGGCATGGCCATCTCCTCTGGGGGAGGGGGTGATTTCTCACTTTCTCCTCTCTCTCTGGTGAGTGCATGCACCCTATGGCAAGAACTTAAAAAAAAAAAAAAAAAAAAGAAAAGAAGAGAAACTTTCTCTTTATTCACAACAGAGCATGTGCAAAAAGGGAAAAAAAAAGTAAAACCACATGTTTACTATTCAAATGAAAATATGAAGAGCATAATAGAAACTGCCTTATAGACCCAGCCTGGTGGCAGAGTTGGCAGCTAACCAAAGTGCAGTGCTGGAAGCCACATGATTGACTGTGGGTTCAACTTCCTGTGTCAACCTGAAAATCATCCTGATGAGCTAGAGGGCTGGCAAAGGGGACCACAGAGTGATGAAGCCCTACCAAGGACGGTTCCCCCCACCCCTGCTTGTGTGCATGCACTCCCTAGTATGGATAAAATAAATACACTTGGGGGAAAATAAAACTGCTTCACAGGTCTAAAAATGTGTAATGCCCAGGGTTAATAAAAATCTGTTTAGGAGACATGTTTATCCACCTGCACCATTTACAGTTTAGACTGAAAGTAAGAGAGTCTGCATAGAAATGTTTTGATTGAGGGACCAGCCAGCAGCATAATGGCTGTGTTGCTGGACTCCCACGTAGTCAACCACTGTCACGTCCCGGACCCAGTGACTTAAACTCACGCCGGGTGTGTGTGTGTGCGTGCCCAAGATCCCGAGAGGAGAAGGGATTGCGGCATGGCCATCTCTCTTGGGGGGTGATTTCTCGCTTTCTGTCTCTCTGTCTCTCTCTGTCTGTCTGGTGAGCACACATGCCCTATAGCAAAAACCTCTCCAGGAAAAAAAAAAGAAATGTTTTAATTGAAATTTCACAAAAGAAGGAAAATAGGGTGACAATTATTTTTCAACTAATAACTATTATAGTCAAATATATTGTATATTATTATTCTCTGATACACATTTTTAATCATCAGGAAAACCTGTTTAAATTCATAGTACCGGGGCCTGCAGGTGGCATGGTGGTTAAAGCACTGGACTCCCACATAGCCTCTTGCAGTTTGAGTCCTGGACCTGGTGACTTGAGAATCATGCCTGGTGCATGTGCGTGCATGCTCAAAATCCCAGGAGAATAGAGGACAAGGGATTGATGTGTGGCCGCACCCCCTGGGGGGTGATTTCTCCGTTGCCCTATGGCAAAAACCTTAAAGCAAATTCTTATTACCAGGTCTTATTTCCAGATGCCCTTCAAATAAGCACTTTTCACCAGCTCCCTGGTGAGTCTCATCAAAAGGGATACATAGACCATGCTTTCAGAAACACTGCTGTGTAACCTTGTTAGCCTTCATCTTAATTAAGTAGTGTAACATTTTTGAATGCAAAGAATCTTTGTTCAGTAAACAAATACATTGCGAAGTTTTTGGGTATGTCTTCTTTTTTTTTTTCTTAAGAGAGAAAGAACTTTTTATTCTAATAATTACATGTTTTGACATGATTTCCAGCCTTGGAACTTCAGGACTGATCCATTCGCAGCCGAAAGGAAAAACTGTTCAGGCTGTATCCGCAGCGTCCTTCTCAGGATGAGCGGGTACATCTCATTGGCCGCTGGGTTGCTCAGCCGCCGTGTGTCCAGGGCTTGCTGGAATCCCACTCCTCTGAAGGGACTATAAAGTCAGCAGGATAAAGATGTTCTGTAGTGTTTACTGACCTCTTATAGAAGTTCATATATTTACTTAGTTTCCATTTTTTGAACCTTGTATTGCCATAGAAAGATAAGCTGCTTGCCCTCTGAGAAGCTTGGCATTTAGAAGGCAGATAGCTCAGCTGCAGTGAAACATTTTGTGGGTATCTCCTTTCTAAGTTTTGTACTCAAGAATTAAAACAAATCATCTTCAACATTTCAGAGAATAGGTCATGGTGATAAAAACCACGCCGATGCTGACCGATCTCCTATTTTCCTCCAGTTTGTTGATTGTGTATGGCAAATGTCGAAACAGGTAAGGATATATGGAATGAAAATACGTTCAACTTAACATTTATATTAAAATTTTTTTATATAGTATCTGGTAATTGCCTGCCTCCCCTCCAATTGCCCGCCCCACCCCCAAGTAATACGAGGCATACATAGAGGTGAAATAAGAATGACCGTGTGTGAATAACTATTGAAGCCAGGTGACAGATACGGGTTCACATTTTTATTCCTAGGACTATTTACATGTGTGGAATTTCCTATAATAAGGTTTTAAAAATTAAATATTTGTGCTGGCTCCATAGTGGATAGTTAAGTGCAGACCATAGGCGACCAGATCCCACGTGGCCAACTCTGGTGTAAGTCCTGGTCTGTGCAACTTGAAAAATCCAGCAGGCATGTGTGCATGTATGTTCAAATTCCAGATGGGAAGGAGAAATGGAGGAGAAGGGATTGTGGCATGACCACTGGTTTGAGATGGTGCTTGCTTTCTCTGGCGAGTGTATGTGCCCTCTAACAATAAAATATATTAAACATTTAACTGTATTTTCTCTATTAATGGAAGATAAGTGAAACTGAAAATACCAACTTGTCTTTTATATACATTCCACACTGGCATTTGTGTAGGCATGTCTATTAACTCATGTCACTTAGCAACAAGGGCATGTTCCAAGAAATGTGTCATTAGGCAGTTCCATTACATGAATATTATAGAGCATACTGACACAGAACCATGTGGTATATAGCCTATTGCTGAGGGACCCTGATGAATAAACAATACGAGATCAAATCAAGCCAATAGAAAATGATACAGTCAAGAGAATCTCACATCAGCATATGATACATGAGGCTGTTCTGTGTTGTAACATGGCAGCATACTGTTTTATAGTAAATGTTTTATATAAGAATACAATCCAAAATAATAATAAAGGCCAGCCCATGGCCTAGTGGTTGAGGGAGCTGAATTCCACATGGCCAACTGAGCAGTTTAAGTCCCTGAACTGGCAGCTTAAGGAACATGTCAGGTGTTTATGGATGTGTGTCCCAAGTCCCAACAAGATGGAGAAATGGAGGTGAGGGGATTGTGACATGACCATGTCCCACTAGGGACTGCTTTGTCTTTCTCTGGTAAGTGCATCTGCCCTCTGGCAAATTAAAAAGGTAAATAGATAGATAGATAGATAGATAGATAGATAGATAGATAGATAGATATAAATGAATAAATAAAATAACGGGTGGTAGAGGTTGGGGGGGAAGGGAAGAAACATTTAACAGACAAAAGAATGTGAAGTTCTCTGTTGAAAAAAAATGTTCTGTAATGTTTGCTTTATAAAACAAAAGGACATCTAGTATGGCAAATGCATAAATTCATAACATGATCATTTATTATCAAGAATTATCAGGACCAGCAGTTAGCGTAATGGCTATGTTGCCAGACTCCCACATAGTTGACCACGGTTCGAGTCCTGGACCCGGTGGTTTAAACTCACACCGGGCGCGTGTGTATGCGTGCCCAGGATCCCGAGAGGAGAATGGAGGAGAAGGGATTGCGGCGTGGCCATCCCCCCTGGGGGCTGATTTCTCACTTTCTGTCTCTCTGTCTCTGTCTGTCTGGCAAGCACACACGCCCTATAGCAAAAACCTTTCCAAAAAAAATAAAATAAAATAAAAAGAATTATCTAGTGTACATACCTGTGTGTGCTGAATTTTTCTGTAGCTGGCAGCACAGTAAGGCCTTGCTGCAGACATGTGAATAGTGTGCTGTGACGTTATGATGATGGCTACGATAATAGCCGGTAGGAAGTTGTCAGCTCTATTATAGTGTTACAGGACCACTCACATAGGTGTGGTCCATCTTTGACCAAAACTGGCATGTCACTGTACCTAAAATAATTAACCTATCTGATATGCCCTGCGTACTCAGGAAAACCCAAAAGATCAGCCTGGGGGCTTCCTTTTCCTCTTTATTTCTTAGGACTTCACCTTCTCAGTACTGTCGAAAGTACCAAAGCTATGTGCTCTAGGTAGGGGTGGATGGCAGCCTCGCTGCCCTTCCTAGTGCTCCACCACATGGCAGCATTTAATCTTTTCTGAATGCATCTTTTCAGTTCTATAAAAAAAAAGTTAGTCCCAGTTTTTCATACTTGCCTTATTTTTGTGTAGTTTCCCACAGCTTTTGAATTCAATGAACGATTTTTGATCATGATTTTGGATCATCTGTACAGCTGCCGATTTGGTACTTTCTTATTCAACTGCGAATCTGCTCGAGAAAGACAGGTGAGTCAAAACCCGCATCTGTTTTTATAAAGGCTTGCCAAAGTGTACTAATCTGCCATGAAGTGCAAAGAATTTCAGAGCTTGGAAGCCACTGACCTTGCGTCAGGAAGTAGGAGTGACTTTAAAGGTATGTGAGGACTCCCTCCCAAAACACCATAAAAGTATCAGTAGAGGGACTGTTTTAAAGTGCCTAAACCCCTAAGAACAGAGAATGTGAAAAAGAAGATACAGGCACAAACTTTTTGAAGTTGGCAAGCCTGAAGATAAGTGGTAAATAATTTGGCTTGAGAAAACTGAATCTCAGCCAGCAGTGAAGCTGAGAAGCAGGAACCTAGAGGATTTTGAAACTAAAAACATGCTATCAACAGAAATGAAAAACTCAGGACAAGAGTTGGAGGAAGATTTGAACAGAATCCTCCAGAGGATGACTGCAATGGAGATAGAAAATGGAGAAAAGGTAAGAAAATGAGCAGATCAATCCTGGAAGTCCAATATCCAAATAGTAGGAATACCAGAAAGAGAAGATAAAGATGCCAGAGAATAGAAAATCGCTGAAATCCTTTGCGAATATTCCCAGAACTGAAATACATGCATTTCCACATGGAAAAGCCTGCCAAGTGCTGAGCAGGGCAGGTCAAAATCGAACCACCTCTAGATGAAATTTCAGAACAGAAGGAACAACATGATCCCACGGCTTCCAGAGAGGAAAAGAATGGGTTATTTGCAACCAAACAGAAAGCAGAAAGATGTAGGAGTCTTTAATGGAAGGAAGTTAGAAGTCAGGAGAGGGTTAGACTGTGGCATGGTGGTTAAGGTGGCTAGATCCCACATGGCCGACAGTGTGACTCAAGTCCTGGACACCAGGTGTGTGTGTGTGCATGCATGCCTGCTCAAAATCCCTAAAGGAGAGAGAAAAGGAAAGGGATTGTGGGGTGATCATTCCCCTGGCAAGTGCTTTCGCACATACACATACACTCATGTGAGTGCAGTTTGAAAAAAAAAGTCAGGAGGGCATTGTATTCAAACTATTAAAGAAATTAAGTAAAGGTTCAACCCAGAATTTTCTACCTGCCACACTATCAGTCAAATGTGAAGATAGAACAAAGATGCTTTCAGACATACATGGCCTTGAGACTTTCCCCTTGGAAGCTGGTAGAGTATCCACTTCATGAAAATAAGAAAGAAGAGTGCCAGGCATCCCAGAAGCAGGAGGTCCAGCAGAGAAAGGCAGGTACAGGGGGAGAGCCTATGGACAGGGCAACTGGCACAGGGTGACTTCTGATGTGCCTGAGCGTGGTGTGGGCTCTGAGACAGATGATGGAGAGGTTGGGGTGAGTTAATAAGTACTAAGAAAGTAGGCAAACAAAACAGTTGGGAAGCGAGGGGGGACAAAAACAACTATGCAGGAAAAGAAAAGTGAACACGCAGCTCAGCTGTGAAGCATCCACGTCATCGTAGGAGTCACAGTGCTGAACGGGTTCTGCTCAGAGGGCTGCTCTGCGCTGGGAATAGGTGGCAGGCTAGAAATCACGCGAGCGTGGTACAGTGCAGTGGAAGGAGGTAGTTCTCACCGTGGCCATCTTGGCAGTGAATGCCTACAGCTGAGCAGGCAAGAGGCGGCAATAATGTCGTTTGACAAGATGGCGATAAGCACCGAATTTGTTAAGAAGTCAAATACAGATTGGAACGGTCATTATGAAAAACAGCATGCAGCTCAAAAAATTAAAAATAGGATCAGCCCTGTAGCGCAGTGGTTAAGTACTGTGCAGAGGGAGCCTGATCCCATATGGCCAGCTGCAAAATAAATTAAATAAAGGTCCAACCCAGATTTTTCTCCCTGCCACACTATCAGTCAAATGTGAAGATAGAACAAAGATGCTTTCAGACATACATGGCCTTGAGACTTTCCCCTTGGAAGCTGGTAGAGTATCCACTTCATGAAAATAAGAAAGAAGAGTGCCAGGCATCCCAGAAGCAGGAGGTCCAGCAGAGAAAGGCAGGTACAGGGGGAGAGCCTATGGACAGGGCAACTGGCACAGGGTGACTTCTGATGTGCCTGAGCGTGGTGTGGGCTCTGAGACAGATGATGGAGAGGTTGGGGTGAGTTAATAAGTACTAAGAAAGTAGGCAAACAAAACAGTTGGGAAGCGAGGGGGGACAAAAACAACTATGCAGGAAAAGAAAAGTGAACACGCAGCTCAGCTGTGAAGCATCCACGTCATCGTAGGAGTCACAGTGCTGAACGGGTTCTGCTCAGAGGGCTGCTCTGCGCTGGGAATAGGTGGCAGGCTAGAAATCACGCGAGCGTGGTACAGTGCAGTGGAAGGAGGTAGTTCTCACCGTGGCCATCTTGGCAGTGAATGCCTACAGCTGAGCAGGCAAGAGGCGGCAATAATGTCGTTTGACAAGATGGCGATAAGCACCGAATTTGTTAAGAAGTCAAATACAGATTGGAACGGTCATTATGAAAAACAGCATGCAGCTCAAAAAATTAAAAATAGGATCAGCCCTGTAGCGCAGTGGTTAAGTACTGTGCAGAGGGAGCCTGATCCCATATGGCCAGCTGCGGTTCGAATTTTGGCCCTGGAGGTTTAAAAGACACACTGTCCCATGTGCACGCTAAGGATCCTGATGGGATAGAGAAATGGAGGAAAAAGAATTATGGCATGATCAGGCCATGTCGGAGGGGCTTTCTCTCCTCTCCTCCCTCTCTCCCTCTCTCTCTCTCTCTCTCTCTCTCTCTCTCTCTCTCTCTCTCTCTCATGTGTGCGTGTGCCCCCTGGCAGTAAAAAATTAAAAATAGAACTACCATATGATCCAGCAGTCCCAGTCCCAATTCCAGATTTATATCCAGAGGACATGGAATCAGTATGGTGAAGAGATATCTCCACTCCATGTTTATTGCACCGCTCT